CCTGGCCCGTGCCAGTCCCGACATCCTGCGCGTCGTGGTCTCGCTGTCGGTCAGGCTCCAAGCAGCTGGCGAACGGTGCTCGCCTGCCTCGCATGCAAACTTCAGACTGCGTGACTGCGAAGGGCAGTGCATCGTTCAGCGGCGCGCGTGTCTTCTAGGATGTTCCCATATCAGCTTCGGTATGACCATATGGTCTACAATGATGTGATGCAGCAACATAGTCAAGCACATGCCAGTGCTCAATGACTCCACCCTTCACAAGCTCGCAGGAACCACATGGATGCAACAATATGTTCAACAGTAAAGCCACCACTGGGGGGGCCCGCGGCATATCGATCATCAATGCGAAATCGGCGCTGTGCTGGACGCGTTTTACAGTGGCGGCGCCCATTCCAACTCCTGACAAAAGATAAACCACTTCAGCTGCCAACGAACTACCCTTCGTCTTGACTTCCAGGAATGACCGGGATTCACCAACCCCGATAACACGCGCACCCTGGGACCCCTCCAAGACACCGTTTCACGCAGATAACTTCCTGAGCCGCCGCCCCGACGCCTTCCTGCGCCCTCCTGGAAGCCGCACCTCGGCGATGCTGCGTCGACCTGGGAACGAGGCCTCCAGCCCATTTGAGCACGCTCTCGCATGGCGGCTTTCAGCAGACCCTCGTCGCCCACGTGCTGTTCGCAGGAAAAAATATACGCATCAGCGTCGGGCACCGTTCTGGAAATGCGATCTTTCGCCAGCGGTGACCAACTCGTGACGTTCGCAAAGTTGGAAACTCACTCTCGGCCGTGCTTGCTGCTAAATCTGCCGCGGAACGCGCCGGGGGTGCCGCGCTGCGTGCAAACGTGAAAACCAATAGATCATTGGCAGAGGCCGAGACCTCGATGCGCTCGGCCGCCTCGGCCTCGAATTTCTCGGTGAGGGGTGCCCCCAGCCGCTCCAGATCGGTCGGGTCGAGGGTCTCGGACGAGCGCTTCTGCCTTAGCGCATCGAGCTCCTTGGACTCGCCCTCTCTGAGCAAGTCTGCATCATCCCCATCTCCAACTGGTCGCCCTGGGTCTCCGAGTCCTCCATCACCGCCAATGGCCTGCCCCACTCCAACACCTGCTGCGCGAGGTAGGCTCCGCGCTGCCAGTTGGGCATCGCGGAGAGCATGCCATTCAACGAGTGAGGTTTTAGCAACGTCAACGATGCGCCGGAGGTCGTCGCCACTGCACTCACGGAGCCGGCGTAGTAGATCAGTTTGGAGGGCAACAATAGCAGCGGCGTTGATCTAGGGCGGAGCGCCCCCTGCAGCCGCTTGGCCAGGGGCGTCGGCCGCCTGGCTGGCGGGGCCTGCCCTCCGCAACGGCCTGCTGCTCACGCCTGTGCTCTCCTCATCGAACAGGGACTGGGCGGCCTTCGCATCATCATGAAGCGCACGACCAATCTCCAAGTCGCTGGTAGCTCGTTGATATGCTGCTGCCGCTTGGGCAACCTTCGCACGAGCTTTAGCCAACACCTCCTGCATGGCCGACTGGTACTGCCACGCATCCTCTCCGACATGGCCGCCTGCCCAACATCGTTCGCGAGCTGGGTCCTCTTCGCTGCAACCAACGAGTCCAAACTAGTGGCTGCCAGCGGCTGAGGAGGGGCTCTGGTCGGCAGGAGCGCTTGGAGATGCTGCGGAAGGTCTGGGGACGCTTCGATAGCTGCTTGAGGTTGCTGGGCTGGGGCGTCGGCAGGCACATCAGCACTTCCAGGGCTGGAAGCTGCTGCCGCTGATTATGATGTAGTCGGGCGATATGGGCACGCGCGCTTGAAACAAGATGTGCGACCCCAGTACGTGAACTCCCCGTGACTGCACTTGATGTTGCCACAGGCGCTGCAGAGGTAACTCTGGTCCTCGGTTCGCCGCTGCCGAAGCCGACGTACACCACCTCCAGCACGAGAATGGCCAGCTTGAACTGACTGGCTTTGCCGTACCCCAAACGCGCGCACCCGTTGCTGGCCATACGCGCCCATTGCATACACTGGGAAAGATCGCTCCTGAAGGAGCTCACAGAACTCAGCCACCAGAGAGCTGTGCGGGTTTCTCTATGGTGACAATCTCGCTCTGCAAATGGGATCTCCGGCCTGCCGCGCAGCTGCGGACAAGCGGGAAACCTCGCGGCAAGGTTTCAAACTTGAGCCAAAATGGGTACGGAGGATGAGGAAAAAGAGGCAGAGGAGAGGGAGAAGGAGGAGGAGGAGGAGGAGGAGCAGGAGTGGAGAGAGGCAGAGGAGGTGAAGGAGGAGGAGGAGGAGGCGGACGAGTGGCTTCTCGGCGGTCTCTGGAGATCCTCCAAAAGGCATGATTCAGGCGGCGTCGGAGTCGGAGGGCCCCGCGGGAGGCCTTCTCTGGGCCTTTTGTGAAGGCAAGCGAGAAGGATGGGGGAGAAGATGTTCCCAGTAGCTTCTCGGGAAACGTGTTGTTGACGACGACGGCGACCAGCACTGTAATGATGAAGAGCACTGTTCGGAAGGCACCCCTGAATGGCGTCACGAATGTGTGGCTTACTGGCGGCCTTTGTGAAGCCTGCAGAAGGCACGTAAAATGTAGGGGGCGCCTTGGGGGCCTCATGGGGGTATCTTGGGGCCTCTTGGGGACCTCTTTGGAGCGCCTCCGGGAGTCCACGGGCGGTCTCAAGGGGCCCCTGGAGCCTGCGGGACAGATACTCCCATGGTGGACGACTCCCCGCGAAAGTAGGATGATACTAATAATAAGGAGAAGAAACACAATAACAAAACAAGAGAAGAGAAAGAAGAAGAAGAAGAAGGAGAAGACACAGCAGGGGAGAAGCAGGACAAGGAGTAGGAGGAGGACGAGAAGGAGGATGGGGAGGAGAGGAGAGGAGGAGGAGGAGGAGGAGAAAGAGGAGGAGGAGCGAGGAGGAGGGGAGGAGAAGGGAGAACTAAGCAGGAAGGGAGAGGAGGAGGAGGAGGAGGAGGAGGAGGAGGAGGAGGAGGAGGGAGGAGGAGGTGGAGGAGGAGAGGAGGAGGAGGAGGAGGAGGAGGAGAAGAGGAGGAGGAGGAGGAGGAGGAGGGGGAGGAGGAGGGGATGGGGGAGTCCATCTTCGTCTTGACCTCTTGTAGTTTTCTCGGGGGAGCCCTGCAACCTGATGGGAGATACGCAATGGTGGGCCATCCCCTGCAGCAGCAGGAGGAGGAGGAGAAGCAGCAGGGGAGAAGGAGGAGGATGAGGAGGATAAGGAGGAGGAGGAGGAGGGAGAAGGAGGAGGAGACGGAGGAGGGGAGGAGGGAGGAGGAGGAGGAGGAGGAGGAGGAGGAGGAGGAGGAGGAGATGGGGGAGTCCATCTTCGTCTTGACCTCTTGTAGTTTTCTCGGGGGACCCCTGGAGCCTGATGGGAGATACGCAATAGTGGGCCATCCCCTGCAGCAGCAGGAGGACAAGCAGCAGGGGAAGAGGAGGAGGAGGAAGAGGAGGAGAGGGAGAGGGGGAGGAGGAGGATGAGGTGAAGGAGGGGGAGGAGGAGGAGGCCGAAGAGGAGGAGGGAAAGGGGAGCTCATCTTCGAGTGGCTTCTCGGCGGTCGCTGGGGAGCCTCTGACGGCCCGGAAGCCTCTCCAGGAACATCTGGATGACGACGACGGCGACAAGCAGTGTAAGGATCAAGGGCACTATTCGGATGATACGCTTCAAGAGAGTCATCACGAATGCGTGGCTTCCTGGCGGTCTCTGGGGAGCCTCGCAAGGACATGTAGAGGGCGTCTTGGGGGTCTCGTGGAGACTCTGTGGGGGCCTGATTAGTGGGGGTATCTTGGGGCCTCTTGGGGGCCTCTTCGGATCGTCTCCATGACTCCATGGGCTTTCTCGGTTGGGCCCTGGAGCCTGCTGAGCCAGATACGCAATGGTGGACCATGCCCTGCGGAAGCAGGAGGAGGAGAAGCAGCAGAGGAGAAGGAGGAGGAGGAGGAGGATAATAATAAGGAGGAGGAGGAGGAGGAGGAGGAGGAGGGAGAAGGAGAAGGAGGAGGAGGAGGAGGATCAGGAGGAGGAAGAGAGGGAGAGGGCCTGATGCAGGCGGCGTGGGAGTCTCGGAAGGCCCCACATGAGGCCTTCTTCGGGTCTCCTGGGAAGGTAAAGAGGAAAAGATGGGGAAGAAGATGTTCCTGGAAGCCTCTCCGTGAACATCTGAATGACGACGACGGCGACAAGAAGCGTAAGGATGACGAACACTATTCGGATGGTGCGCCCCACCTCACGCACCTCACGCACGACACAAACCGAAATTAATTTCCTGGTTGGGCGACTTCGTTCCACTTCGATTTCACCCTCCAACCCCCGACACCGACCCTGGGCTGAATCGGTACGCACTCCTGCGCAAGCCAGAAGGGTGTATATACATCAAGGCGAGGCTAAAATGGATGCTGAATGCAACAAACTAGTCAAAACGCAACCGTCGCACGAACCCCGTGTCGGGGCCCGCTGACAGACAAGACCTCCGCTTGCGCAGACAGCCAGTGGAGTGCGAGAGCGATTCGCTGGGCGCAATGGCATAGGGAGCTGGCTGCAAGAACGCAAGGCGGCAGCGCAAACGCTGGGCCGACGCCTGACAAGGAGATAGTGTTTGCTCAAGGCCCGGCGCAAGGCCGTTGGCTTTAGTGCATGTATGGCACATCTGTCGACCGTAAATGTAGATTTATATTTATATATGTATATATACATATGTATACATCGATCTCTTTCTCTCACTCTCCTGTCGGGGGCGCTCGCCTCATGAGATGACTTGAGTACGCATCGAGACGGGGGAATCTGTTCGGTATTGCCTAGGAAGGGCCCCAAACACCCGTTCCCGCTCCTCCACTTTGCATCTCTGCCCTCCCTTCCTTTCTTTCATCCCTTCCTCCCTCTCCTCCGTCTTCTCCCCCTTCCCGCCCGCCTGCCCCTTCCTCTCCTCCTCCATCCCTCCCCTGGTATCTGGCATCCTTCCTCTCCCCTCTTTTTCCCCAGACCCCCTACCACTCCATCTCGAGTCGTCCTCGTCGTCCGCGGCGCCATCGCCGCCTTCACGCGCCGCCGACGCCACCGTTGTTAGCCGTTGTTGCCCCCACACGTGCAACGTCGGGACATTTTCCACGACGCGGGGCCCCGCATCCCAGTGACCCCAAACGCTTTCCGCCGAGGATCGTCCTTCGGTGGCCCTTCGGGCGCCGCAGCCGCACTCGCCGTCGTCACCGTCGTACTCTCGCCGCCGGCGCACTCGCCTTCTTCGTCGTCGCCGCCGTCCTCGCCCTCGCCGCTGTCGCCGCTGTCGCCGCCGCCGTGCTTGCCGCCGCCGTCGTCCGACAGGGTGCCGGCGGCGCTGGGCCGCGGGCGCGTCTGGCGACGGGGCCCGCGCCCGGCCCGGAGGGTAGGAGCCCCCCGGGCCGCGCGGCTGTCTCCAGCCGGTGCCCGTGTAGGACGCCCAGGCCTCGGGGCGCGGCGGGGTCAGCGATCGCGTATCGAGGATGTCTTCCAGCAGCGGGCTCTTGCACAGGTCGCCGTCGTAGTCGTCGTGGCCGGCGTCGCCGTGGCCGTGGTCCTCGTCGTCGTCGACGTCGTCTTCGCCTTGGGCGTTGTCGCCGCCACGGTCGCCGCGGCCGCTGCCGTCTGCGGCACGCTCTGGACTTCTCGTCGTCGCCGTCGCTGAATGAGTCAATGAGCCCAAGGGTGGCTGTCGGTGTGAAATCATTATAAAAAAAAGGCAAACCAATTCCGCCGACCCTGACGGCGTGTGGACGAGGCTGTTCCGTTTGACTCGTCTTCGTCGACGTCGACGACGTCGTCGTTGCCGTCGCCGTCGCCGCTCGCTCTCTATCCCTGGGCCCGTCGCCGCCCTCCCCTTTTCCTGGGCCCTCCTCCTCAAGCGCACCAGCCAAAGCGACATTGAGCAACGACGTCGTAATGGAGTCGAAGGGAAGCCCCTTCCCTTTGATCTCTTCCCCGCCAGAGGGGATGGGGGGATCCCAGGGGAAGTCCCGGGGTGGTCCCGTGGGGATCGCGGGGGGGGGGTCCGGAACAGAATACAACCCCCCCCTGGGGGGGCGCGGGGCCCGAAAAAGTCTGAAGACGAGCCAAAAGTGCCTCAAGAGGCCCCCAAGACGGTCCAAGAGGACCCCGAATCGCCGAACCTAAGACTTCTCACGGCCTCCAGACACCCCAAAAGGCCGGAAGACGCACCAAGAGGCCTCGAAGAGCACTCCCAAGAGAGCCCCAAGAGGCCACATTCATTGAGTTTCCTAAGGTCTTTCAAGGATTTGGGCATTCTCGCCTTTTCAGCTTCCCGACGCTCCAGAACGGCTCAAGATGCTCCAACGATCGCTCCAAGAGGTCTCCAAGAGAGTCCCGAAACGGGCGAAAGAGGGCCCGAAGACGGCCCAAGACGCCTACAAGACGGCCCAAGAAGCCCCCAAGAGGGTTCCAAGAGAGTACCCAGACAGGGGAACCAAACTGACATTTCGAGTCCTCCGCCCCGACACGCTACCAGGCGGCCCCAAGAGGCCCCCAAGAGGCCCCCAAAAGGCTCCAGGGGGCCTCCAAGAGGCCCCCACACCCAACATGCTCCCAATGGGCTCCCAAAACTGCCCCCCAGAGGACTCCGAGAGCGCTAGGAAGAGACCCCAAACAGAATCCCTGAGGACTCTGACCCACGTCGGCGTCGTCGTCGTCGTCGTCGTCCAACTTCAGGGTCGGCGGCACCGGCCGTAAAGCATTCGCAGTGCCATGGCGCAGGCACCACTACAAGAACGCAGAGCCGCCGATCAAGGATCGAGACTGCAGAATTCTCAACGCTTGTTTTCGGTTTGAACCTCTGGAAGCCTCCTGCGGCCTTCGATGGCCTCCCTGTTCCTGCCCGCGGCGAGCCTGGGGCGTGACGAAGTCTTCGCTGGACGGCACTGAAATCCGGCTCCGACGAGAGAAGGAAGCTTGGAGACTTTCCCATTGCGGGCTGCTTCGCGGGGTCCCGGGGCCCGCGAAAAAACCCAACACCCCGAGAATTGCAAGGGAGGTCTGTGGCCCCCCGTCATGCTGCCTAGGGCCATGTGGCGTTCAACGTTGGCCGCCGGCGGTGGCGTCTGGGCGGCTCGAACCTGCCTTTTTCGATGTCTGCCGGGTCGTTTCGTTGTTACCGGACGGAAATGAAGCAACCACACCGATGCTGGCCACGCCTGTACGCGGGCCCGCGATTGGGACATCGTGCCCAATCCTGGCCTGCTCGCACGGGTCCTGAGCCCAACCTCGGCCTGGCCGGGGCCGGCCACATCCGACGCGACGCAACCTTCGCACAGACAGCCTGTTGTGGCGGCCCGCGGCCCGTGGCTACGAGCGCACACGCCGAAGAAGGGGCGCACGCTTGGCAATGCCAGCGAAGGGCCCCAAGACGGCCCGTGACGGCGCTCGCCCGCTGCTTCTGGGAGCGCACGGAAGAAAGGGCGTGTTCGGGAGGTCTCTGGGGTTCCCGGATGCTTTCGGGGCGCAGGGGGAGGTTCGAGAAGAGAGGGGGGGATAAGGGAGAAAGGAACACAGGGAAGGGAGAGAAGGCATCGACCCGAGTTCGTCGAATAGGAGAACGGCGAAAGTTCAGATCACAACGAAGGTTTCGGGCCAGATGGAACGGTAGGTAATTCAAACGATGCACGCCTGATGGGCTGTTCGTGGCAACTGAAGCACGACCGTTGCCTTGAAACGACGGCGAACGGCAGGGCAGGGGGGGCATCAAACAAATCGATCCCCATCGAGACGTGGAGTGTCGAGCGATCTCAAGCGATCTGCCGGCGCCCGCTTGCCGGGGGTGCAACCAAGGCGTTCTAGCTCCTGCGCGTGACCTCCTGCTACGCGCTCTTTTCTTCGCTGGCGCAGCATATCGCACGCGCGGTCACGCCACGGCCCCCCACGAGCTGCGCCGGAGGGAGAAAACAGGTGGGAGGGCAGGACAAACGGCACCCCCTGTGACCCAAGCGGCCGCGGAGAGAACGAGAGGAGCAGAGCAGAGAACGAGAAGGACACATGCGAATACGAAGGGCGGGGGCAGAGAGACTATCTACGCTTCGGTTTTGGTAATCCGCGCTAGCTCCTGCACCTGACCTCCTCTTGCGCGCTCTTTTCTTCATTGGCCCAACCGCAAGCTCGTCGCTCGACGCGCGTGGTCGCGCGGACGCGTCAGAACGCCAGCCGCCACGGGAAAGTATGGCTTCGACTCGGGAGACAGGTCGTTCGCAGCTCCGCGCCGGACATCGTGTCCAAACCAAACTTCGGGGCTAGCGACCCCGATGGCTTGCAAGTGGCGCCGAAATTCTGCCGCCCACGTCGCAGGCACGTGCCCGCCGAACGGAAGGCCCCCAGCTGCAATCGCATGGTCTCACGCAAGAAGCCACATGCGAAAACAGATGCCTTCATCTGTGCCGCACAGGCAGAAAACACAAAGGGAACACTGATCCACCCGCTGCTTTCGCCGCATGGGGCCATAGAACAGACGCCATCCAGCGACATGCGCAAGAACGCGCTTGCACTGCGCGACGCAACTCAGAGGACATGCGCAGCAGAAAGTTGCACGCCGAGACTGCGATGGCGCGCCACCACTGTCGCTGGCACGCTATCTATAGCGCATGGAGCAAGCGCCGCAAATGCTGGCGATCCACATTTTGCCAAGGCGATCTGGGCGTTCGGCACTTCGCGGCGCCGAGCCGGACGCCTCTATGATCTCTTGGCCGCCCTGCCACGGCGCGCCATCTATCTGGCGCGGCAGAGCCCACGCCCTCAATCAACCGCGCTGTGTAGACGCGCGCGCGCGCACGCCGCCGCGACGCGGCGAACGCGCTGCACAATGGACCCCTGCGGGGCCTCACCCAGGAGCTCGGAAGCCCATGCAACCACCCGCAAATGCGACGCGCATGAAACTAAATTCGACGGTGCCGTTTTACACGGAAACCGGATCTCCACTACTGCGTCGGCCAGCCGGGGCAGGTCCGCAACTCGAGCGCGAGCTTCGCTCATGCCACGTAGCGCCTCGCGGGGTGGGGCGCCATTTGGGCGCCTGATGGAGCGCCACCTGCCCCGGCTCAGCGCCGTCATCATGTCGACGTTCTGCCCAGAGGCAACACTGCGCAAACTGCCCAGCACGCGCCAGCACATCAACCGAGCCTCAACGGGGCCAGACTCACGCGGAGCACCACCGACAGCGGCCTGGACCCCGCGGGGGTTTGCGGCAGCGCGTGGGCAGCCGGGCGTGCTGCCACTGCCGCTGGGCACTGCGGCACAAGACTTCCCAGCGGGATCCCCCCTGGCGCAGCCCGAGGCCTCGGGGGGCCCGTGGGCGACCAGCAAAACAACCCGCGCGGTTGAAGGGGCGAGGCCCGACGGCGCCTGGAGCGCTGCCACGGCGGCGGCGGCGCGAGGCGCGGGCGCCTGACGGGCCGGCCCCAGGCGGCCCTGGGTGTTGCATCTGCCGCGAAGGACCCGCGGTGGGGGGCGCGCCAGCGCGCGCCGATGCAAGCGCGGAGCCACGCGCCCTGCGGGGCGCTCGGGCCGGGGGGGAGGACGACGGCCGGCAAGTCGAGCTTGAGCCTGGGAGCGCGGGCGTCGTCGCCCGCCCAGTCGTTCCCCCCGCCTGGTCCGAAGGTGGGGAGGCGGAGGCGCGAGCCTGCTGAATCAAGTCGAGCGGTTACCAAAAAAAGCGACGCAGGGTGTCGAGCGATCTCAAGCGACCTTCTCCCCTCGCTGTCCCCATCGTGCATGCTCCTCCTCCTCCTCCTCCTCCTCCTCCTCCTCCTCCTCCTCCTCCTCCCTCGTCCCCTTCGCCCCTGGTCTATGCACGCTGCCTCCCCCAGTCCCTTCTCGCCTGCCCGCCAACCTGCCTTGTCCCGCTGGCCCTGGCCTCCCGCCTGCGCATTCGTCGTCCTTCCTCCTCTCCCCCTCTGTGGCTTGGGCGTTGCTCGTTGCCCCATGGGGCGCGAGAGCTGTGAGGGGAGAAACGTGCACCCTTCGTGCCCAGGTGGCCCTGTCAGGGCACCCGAGGTGCACACGAAGTGCGCCTTTCTTCACACCCTTCCCAGGATCGCCCCCTCGGGAGCGGCCAAGAGGGGGGTGTCCACGAGGGGGGGTGCAAATCATGACCAGCGGCACGTGCGCGGCCCAGCGGGGGGCCCAGGGACGTAATGAAGCAAGAGGAGGCGCCATAAGATCTGGGGAAATATCATGGCCCCCGCCATGATATCCGCCCCCCACACCAGTCATCACCCCCCTCTTTGCCGCCCCCGACCCCCCCCCCACTGCGCAATGCCCGAAGTGGCCGGGCAGCACAGGCTGCCGGCAGCGTGCGCCACGTGCAGCGACGAGCCGCTGCAGGGTGCGCTGCGCCCGCGGGCCCTTGCCGTCAATCTGCCGGGAGGCGTTCCCCAACGGCTGAGGGCGCTGCGTCGACGGGCATCTCGACCTCCCCGCTGCGGCGGAGGTACGCGCCTGCCGTGGCACAGGGCGGCGTGGGGGGAATCCAGAAGCAAAGATGGAACAGGTGGGAACGCGCCTGGGGATCAGTGAAATCCAAAGCCTCGAACATCACGCGTGCATACCGTTGGGAGGAGGTTGGCAGAGATGTGAAACCTGAGGGCGGTCAACAAAACATGGCGGGCATCGAAGAAAAATGCTCAAAATCAGCAGGAGGTGGGCGAGCCGACCTCGCTCTGGACATCTCCCGATTCCAAACGGGAGCCACACGACACGAAGATACCTGTGGGGAGGCCCACAACTGTCAGGCTACTTGACGAGGCTGCGCGATATATGACTAGGTTTTGACCGGAAGCGAAAACAGGATATGGATTGACCCCCTGGCTTCAAGTAGACTGGGATCCGAAACCCAATATACGTAGCACCCGCAATTGCGGATAAGAGTGAGGGGGCGGGCGCGGGCGACGCGGGCGTCGTCGAGCCGGCGGACCTCGTGGCCCCCACCTTCCCTGTCGATGGCGCTCTCGTCCTCCTCCTCCGCCTCCTCCTCCTCCTCGTCCTCGTCCTCATCGTCATCGTCATCGTCATCCTCCTCCTCCACCTCGTCCTCCTCCTCTTCTTCCTCGTCCTCCCTCTCCCCCCTCGTCCTTTCATCATCGTCCTCCACTTGTCGTCCAAGCCCTCATCGGCCTCCATCATCGTCCTCCCATTGTCGTCCATCCTCATCATCATCATCATCATCATCATCATCATCATCATCATCATCATCATCATCATCATCATCATCATCATCATCATCATCATCATCATCATCATCATCATCATCATCATCATCATCATCATCATCCCCCTCCTCCCCCTCCTCGTCCTCCTCCCCCTTGTCCCCCTCCTCGTCCTCCTGCTCCTCCTCCTTTTTTTTTCTCCACGTTCTCCTTACATCCTCTCTTCTTCCGCGTTCTCCTCGTCCCCTGTTTACTCATCCTGCCTCCCCCTCCTTTCCCACGATAACTGCAACGCAACCCTTTTTTCCACTTGATGCTCCCCGCCTTCTCTGATCAAGGCAACTCGCCAGGGCAGAGTTGCTGGACGGGCTGGTGTGGATGCGCGGGGCTTGAAGAGGTCCTTGCGGGCTCAGACGGCATGCAACAATCCGCCGCCGCGCTTGTGCGGCATTGGTTTATTCAGTGAACGTGGTTTAGGTCGCGGGTGGGTCGCGGATTCACCTCCACCTGGGAGAAATGCAAAAGCAGCCCGCCGCAGGCGCCCAAACAAATCGTTTGTACACTGAACGTGGTTTGGGTCGCGGGTGGGCCGCGGGTTCTCCACTGGGAACGAATGCAAAAGATGCCCGCCGCAGGCGCCGAAATATCTGGTTTGTACCCTGAACGCGGTCGCGGGTGGGCCGCGGGTTCTCCACCTGAAACGAATGCAAAAGATGCCCGCCGCAGGCGCCGAAAAATATGGTTTGTACCCTGAACGTGGTTTGGGTCGCGGGTTGGTCGCGAGTTGGTCACGGGGTGGGTCGCGGGCTCTCCACCTGGAAAGAATGGGGGGGGGGAAAAACAAAAAAAAAAAAAAAAAAAAAAACGCGCCGCCGGCGCCGAAAATGGTGGTTTGTACCTTGAACGTGGTTTGGGTCGCGGGTGGGGCGGGTGGGTCGCGGGGTAGGTCGCGGGTGGGTCGCGGGTGGGTCGCGGTGGGTCGCGGGTGGTGTCGCGGGGTGGGCCGCGGGCGGGTCGCGGAGCGGGTCGCGGGGTGGGTCGCGGGGTGGGTCGCGGGGTGGGTCTGGGTCGCGTGGGTCGCGGGGTGGGTCGCGGGTGGGTGGGGTGGGTCGCGGTGGGGGCGGGGTGGGTCGCGGGGTGGGTCGCGAGTGGGTCGCGGGGGCGGGTTGCGGGTGGGTCGACGACAACAACAGCAACAGCAACAGCAACAGCAACAGCAACAGCAACAGCAACAGCAACAGCAACAGCACAGCACACAACAACAACAACAACAACAATCATTTTACCCGAACGCTCAGTGTTCTCACCAGTGCCAGGGTTTTCATGCGACGCGAGACAATACCCCCACTTCGTGGGGGGGCAGTTCAAGCTCTACCAAATATCCAAACGACTCTTCGCGACCACCCAAACCCAGCTTCCCGCCCTATGACGTTGGGACACTTCACTTCGTGGCGTGCGGACGACCGTGGCTACTACACTGGCGTGGGGTACACACCCACAGAACTTGGTCACTTATTCGGGGCGCGCGTGTGCCCAGCATCCTGCAATTGTGACATACAATACATGACACAGACAGACAGAGAGAGAGACAGAGAGCAGACAGAGAGAGAGACAGAGAGAGCGGAGTTGGTCACATTTTTGGGGCAAGTTCCTGAGATCGTCGTGTTTTTTGTTGGTCTTGCGCGCGCGAATGTCCACTTTACTTTTTTTTGCAAGGGAGTATTGAAATTTGATTATGTTAGAACAAGAAAAAGTAGCTCGCGCGAGCTCATGTAACATAAATGTTGAAAAACCATTGGTTTTGTGGGAGTCGGACAGCGCGCGCGGGATGAAATTTGGACATTTTTTTTTGAAAAACCATTGGGTTTTTGATGTTTTTATGTTGAAATCGTTACGAAACCTAAGGTTCTGGAAGGATTTCGTCTTGCGCGCGCGAATGTCCACTTTACCTTATTTTTTGCAAGGGATTATTGAAATTTGATTATGTTAGAACAAGAAAAAGTAGCTCGCGCGAGCTCATGTAACATAAATGTTGAAAAACCATTGGTTTTGTGGGATTCGGACAGCGCGCGCGGAAGGACATTTTGACAATTTTTTCTTAAAAAACCATTGGGTTTTTGACGTTTTTATGTTAAAATCGTTACGAAACCTAAGGTTTTGGAAGGATTTCGTCTTGCGCGCACGAATGTCCACTTTACCTTATTTTTTGCAAGGGATTCTTGCAATTTGATCAAGTAAGAACAAGAATTTTCATTTTATAGTGTTTTTTGCAAGGGAAAACGGATTACAACAAAACAACCGGATCCGGTACACAATCCACTTTTCTGAAGCTTTCGCTAGAAAATGAAGGAAATGAGGCTGCGGCCTAGGTTTTGGAGGGGGGTCGTGCACCAGGGGTCCCAACAATAATTATTCTTAAGAAGAAATAATGTTCAACAACAACAACAACAACAACAAACAACAACAGCAATTAACAACAACAACAAACAACAACAACAACAACAACAACAACAACAACAACAACAACGAGAATCCGCACCGCGGAATTCCACTGCAGCCACGCACCCAGGGACAGTGAATGACCGTTCGGCCCCCTCACTCGGATTATATACCGTAGCGCCCCGTAGTTGCGGATAAGAGTGAGGGGGCAGCGGGTACGTCGGCAATCTGCGAGGTTCTGAAGAAGCCCGCCGCAGGCGCAGAATTTGAAACAAGAAAATGAGACCGCCGTCGGCGCCATTTTTTTTAAACAATGTGCTTGGGTCACGGGTTGGGTCGCAGGTGCGTCGACGGTGAGTCGCGGGTGGGTCGCGGGCGGGGTCGCGGGTGGGTCGCGAGCGGGGTCGCGGGTGGGTCGCGGGTGGGTCGCGGGTGGGTCGCGGGTGGGTCGCGGGTGGGCCACGGGGTGGGTCGCGAGTGGGTCGCGGGGTGGATCGTGGGTGGGTCGCGGGGTGGGTGGCGGGTGGGTCGCGGGTGGGACGACAACAAAAATGACAGCAACAACAACAACAACAGCAACAATCAGTTTCAGACTGTTCGCCCTTATCTGCTCGAGCGTCCAATAACGCGTATTTTCCAAACCCTCGATACCCGCCCTCTTCGTATTCGATCAATCCCCTTTTGGGGGGTATACCTTTCTTCCCTGCAGGCCCGGCCATGGCGAGCGGCGGGGCGGACGCGGACCGTCGGGCCTGGCCAGCGGCAACGCTGATCGGCGGGGTGGCCGCGGACCGTCGACCCGACCCCAAGAGGGGCGGACAGGGGGCCGACCGCGACGACGACGACGACGACGACGACGGCGACGGCGACGAGCGAAAGCGAGAGAGAACGACAGCAGGGCCACGAAGGACACGAAGTAGGCCACGAAGGGCGACAGCGGGGAAACGAAGGGAATGCGCACGGGGCCACGGAGAGCGCGAACGAACGCGGGCCACGAAGGGCAGATAATGAGGGGCCACAGAAGGCAACGATGGGGCCACTGGGGGTAACAACTGGGCCACGTAGGACAGTGAGGGGCCACAAACGGCGACAACGGGGCCACGAAGGGCATGCACATGGGGCCGCAACGGGCGCGAGCGAGCGGGGGCCACGAAGGGCATGCGCATGTTGGGCCGCGGAGAGCAAGGACGGGGCCACTGAGGGCAGCAACGGGGCCACGAAGGAACAAACAGATGAAACAGTACCAGCAAAACGAAACTAGGCCAAACGCCTAGGACAGAACAAAGGCTATCGACACCCCTCGGCAGCCTGGGCTTCGCGAGCCTGCAGGCGGGCCCGGACGGCGTCCATCCCAGGGGTGCCTACAAACCCTGCGGAATAGCTGCTTGACGAGGTCCCGCCCCCCGACTCGACCGCCCACCCAATCGCCCCCTTTGATCAGGCGCAGATCCGCCTCCGACGCAAGAGCCACCTTTTCATGGCGCCTGCGGTGCTGCGGATGCTGCCCACTCTGGAGCCGCCGAAACTGATAGGCCTTCCGGGCCGAGATGGCGCGGTCACACCGCTTGACAAATAAAGATCCTATGCGCTCTTCCGCAAAAACGCCACACTGAACGCAGTAGATTAGAGGGCGCGATCGCTTCGTCCACGCGGCCTGCAGGCTGCGACGGTGGACACTCTCGCTGCCACACAGCTGACGGAGGACTGGAAGAGGACCAGGGCGCTGCATGAAAGCCAGGTCTGGCCCAGCCTTGGCTAGACGAAGACACGGAGCACACCTCACCTTGCCCTCGCCCACCGGAGACCACACATGCCACGACGCCTCATGGGTGGTGCTCGGCGTCTTACTTCGCT